GGTCCAGGGTGTACTAGCTAGATGGATAGAGAACTGGCTGGGCAACAGGAGACAGAGAGTTGTAGTGGAAGGGAGTTTCTCAAAATGGAGAACTGTGACCAGTGGTGTTCCACAGGGATCCATCTTGGGACCACTGTTGTTTGTGATATACATAACTGATCTGGAGGAAGGTATAGACGGTCTGATTAGCAAGTTTGCAGATGATACTAAGATTGGTGGAGTAGCAGATAATGAAGGGGACTGTCGGAGAATGCAGCAGAATATAGACAGATCGGAGCGTTGGGCAGAGAAATGGCAGATGGAGTTCAATCCAGGCAAATGCGAGGTGATGCATTTTGGAAGATCCAATTCAAGAGCAAACTATACGGTAAATGGAAAAGCCCTGGGGAAAATTGATGCACAGACAGATCTGGGTGTTCAGGTCCATTGTACCCTGAAGGTGGCAATGCAGGTCGATAGAGTGGTCAAGAAGGCATATGGCATGCTTTCATTCATCAGACGGGGTATTGAGTACAAGAGTTGGCAGGTCATGTTGCAGTTGTATAGGACTTTGGTTTGACCACTTTTGGAATATTGCGTACAGTTCTGGTCTCCACATTACCAAAAGGATGCGGATGCTTTGGAGAGGGTGCAGAGGAGATTCACCAGGATGTTGCCTGGTATGGACGGTGCTAGCTATGAAGAGAGGTTGAGTAGATTAGGATTATTTACATTAGAAAGACGGAGGTTGAGGGGGGACCTGATTGAGGTCTACAAAATCATGAGAGGTATAGACAGGGTGGATAGCAAGAAGCTTTTTCCCAGAGTGGGGGACTCAATTACTCGGGGTCACGATTTCAAGGTGAGAGGGGAAAAGTTTAAGGGAGATATGCGTGGAAAGTTCTTTTCGCAGAGGGTGGTGGGTGCCTGGAACGCGTTGCCAGCGGAGGTGGTAGAGGCGGGCACGATAGCGTCATTTAAGATGTATCTAGACAGATACGTGAATGGGCAGGGAGCAGAGGGATACAGATCCTTGGAAAATAGGCGACAGGTTTAGACAGAGGATCTGGATCGGCGCCGGCTTGGAGGGCCGAAGGGCCTGTTCCTGTGCTGTAATTTTCTTTGTTCTTTGTTCTATAGGATGGGACAAACCAAGCAAATTGAAGCAAACTGTTAAAATGCAGCTGCATTCTGATGTTTTGTTGATTGGAATATTCAACAGAGGAAGTGCTGGATAATAAAACATTTCAAGACGAAACTGGAGGGCAGGTGTGTCAGAAAACCAACTATATATGACCATAATTTTAACTTTAATAAAATTCACTCCCATTTAATAACCCATAACACATGTTCTTCATTGAATATTCATACAATAATATGCTTTCAAAGAAACTCGTTAAAGTAGCAAATTACATTTTTCAACAATGCTTTCATTTAAGAATGCATGCCTATCAGGGGACCAACTTTAAAATCTGAATTATGATCACTTAGGTGATAGTCACTATATATTGATATTTGTAAAAGTTTTATTGATAATGCTTTGTACTTCCATATGTTTAGAAAGATGACTTAAGTTGAACAAACATTTCAAAATTGAGAAATTCTTTGTTTCATTATATCATGGAAATTTATTAACTTTTCAAGAATAATGAATCTAAGTACATTATTTTATTTCTCTTATGCAGTAATAATGAGGATTTGCAAACTTCACTTTAGAAGCAGCAATTGCAGTAGAGCAATTCTGAACCTTAAAGTGACTGCCACAGACCCTCCCATGGACTAAGTTAACATTTCTCCTATTGATTTCCATGGAACCAGGAGGATCATGAATACATCTTGTGGGCCCTCTGCTGGTGTCCTGGTGTCCCACCCAGATGATTACAGCCAAGCTATTGATTAGCTTTAGTCAGGCCTTTTGCCCCTTTTTGAAGGAATCCTTACCTCTGTCAGCTGCCAATCAATCAACTGGCTGGCAGCTCTTGCCCCTGATGTGTCTTTGGAAGTTATGGTCATATATAGTTGGTTTTCTGACACACCTGCCCTTCAGTTTCCTCTTGAGAAGTTTTATATATCCAGCACTTCCTCTGTTGAATATTCCAATCAACAAAACGTCAGAATGCAGCACCTGTAGGGACTATGGACAGTTGCTGAAGAAATATGAATGCAGCCCAGGCTGCAAGGCAAGCGCATGTTTTTCGCCACAGCCAAGCTGGCAGAATGAGGTACCCTCCCAGCCACCAGTTTGTCAAGTTCAACCATGCCAATCTTTCACACCATGTGTAAAGTCCCAGCAGTGGTGGGAGCAGACCCTTAAGTGGCTACTAATTGGCAGGCTACTCAACATCTCCTCACTCTTGGCAAATACTTATTAGGGGCTGAGAGAATTCAGGTAGGCGATGACCATGATGCTACTGTCACAATGCTCAACTCTTAGTTCCTACTCCATCACCCTCCCTTAGTTTGCATCCTGGAAGGGGAAGGGGAGGGGGAGGTGGGGGAAAGAGGGTGGTACAAATCCAATCTATGAAACAACACAATATAGAGCTTCCACCTTTCAGATGAAACTTTGTAATAATTTGTCTGTTTGGGGGGACACAGAATGTTGGATGGCAGCACTGAAAGAAAGAGTAAGGAGACTTACATGATACCAGGAAATCAGCATTTCTTCCTTTGCCCTCACCATCACAAACACTTAAAGCTCATTCGGTACTTCAGAGGTCATGCTGTGCACAAATTGACTATTGCATTATCCTGCATCATGAGAGTGACTTCACATCAGAAAATAATTCACAGGTTGTTACATGCTTTGGGATATCCTGAGAATGTGATAAAGCATCATAACTACAATTTACTTTCTTTAATTAAAGGATCTGTTTACCCATCTAGCTTTCACACAGAATGCAGGATGGAGAATTGGTGCCACAGATCTGTTGCTCTGTTCCTGAACTTTCCACCTTTTGCTGCATAAATACTTCAAAATAAATTAATTGAAATCAATGGACAGAAAAATCACAATTACTGCATTTTCAATGTTTGACTGCATTTATTGTGCCAAGAAAATGAACACATTTCATTTAGCTTGTGCTTATCATGAAAGAAAACACCTACTTAGCTCACAACTACTAATAAAATGATGCACTCCTCTTCAAAGGACATTTAACAAACTTCATTCTAAAATCACATTTTGTATAAAACATTAACAAACTATTACTTAATAAGTTGTTCCAAAAAAAAACATAAGCAACTTCCATATTCCAGAAACACTGACATCAATAAAATAACTTGACCTGTATTTTACCTCAGGATACACATAGTAATATCACTTAATGGGTGTATCTCAGCAGAGGCCTTAAAGAAACAGTCCGGATTCACAAATGAAAACCATGCACTAAGACCCTCTTGTGGCGCAGTAGCAGAGTTCCCTACCTGTGGACTGAGAGACCTAGGTTCAAGTCCCACCTGCTCCACAGTTGTGTAGTAATATCTCTAAACAGGCTGATTAGGACAAAAAAACAGGCTCAACAACAAAAGTGAAAACCATGCATGATGTCCGAGCCTACACAAGAGCAATACAATTGACATCAAGCAGTGATTTTTTTTTTTACATTTCAAAGAGCAATCTTTATTGAGAAACTGCCCTTAAGAAACAAAAAGTATAATTGAAAGTGAATTTATCTACCTGTGTGTAACAGGGTAGGGAACTATTTGTTAGTTAACAAGGTCGATTGTACCTGCAATGCAGACTTAACAACATGTCAAAATTATGCAATTAGCTGTATTTACAGCCGAGGTAACTCCAATTCTTTCCTACATCATTACTGCATGGCTTTGAGGTAATACTTTAACCATTGATATTATATTGTTCAGTAATCATTGTCCTTCAGAAATTACAACTTCTGTACTTCATTACAAAATCTACAGCTTCGCTCCAGAAATAATGCTGTACTCTATTGTATAATATGTCATTGCTAATAGGTTGTAGACTTAAAAGAAATTGTCTGTATTACAAGTTACCAAACTAGCTGGAAACAACAGTATCCAGATGGCATCAGTAAAATCCATATTTAAGTTCAATTATCCACAAGAAAGTTTATTATCGTTATTAATACTTGTTAAGCTTGAACTCTTGGAGGAGAACCAACTAGCTTTGCATTTTCTATGATACTATTGTGTTACTTTGTAAACTCCTTCAGAAATTATACCAAATAAGACCGGATTATGACATCCTGGAATCATAAATTATGTCAAGCCTAAGAGGCCCGAGAGCCTTACCAATAAAAGTACTATTTCAATAGAAAGGACAATAGAAATAGGAATACCAAAGCTTTACATTTGCATAAATACATAGGCAAAGGCACAATGCAAAACAAATAATCAAACTAAAAATATACAGCTTGCAATAAGCCCATTTGCATTATGAAATACTTTCAAATGAAGTTAGTTTAAGTTTTCTTAATTAGTGTAGATAAAAACTTTCAAGCCACAGAAACTTGAGCAAAGCAAAACATGCTTCAAGCTTGAACTGTTTTATTTTGTGATATTTGGACAGAAAAGTCTCCAATGATGTCCTCAAATTATAAACTGAAAGGCCATCACCACTCGTGCCCAAGATTTCCTGATATTTGCGAGTGATGCTTCCCCAATACTTTGCATTCAGAAAATTCAGTGTAAGAACGCTTGATGATTTTTGGGAGGATTCATAAATTTGAAACATTTAATCTATTCTTTATCAATGATTTTAATTCTTGTTTTTTTTTAAAGTTGGATCTGATTAAATTACACTTTTTTCTTTACAAGTTGATTTTTTTTTAAACGTAACACTAATGTTCCAAAAATCTCTAATCATATTTGCTGTTGTAAGGCCGGGTAAATATGCGCATGAAATCCTTGTTATTATTTCCACCAAAACAAATATTAATGCTAAAAAAAATCGCACTATGATGTGAACGAAAGGCTCTTGACTCCCTACTTTTATTTTTCGCTTTAGTTTAAGCTGTTTGTTATTTTATTCTTTAAAATACCTTGGCTATTGATATTACATAACCAGCACCATTCCTTCACCTTTGAAAGAATCCGGCTCAACCTCCATCACGTCCCCTCGTGCAACCAGTGGTTGCCATGGTGACTTGACTGCCCCGGATGGGATTGGCGGGAAGTCCTCTGTTTCCATTGGCCGGCGGCCCAGCCAATAGGAGGCGGGGGGTGTGGTCGGCGGCCCACGTGGTCGAAGCGGCGAACGGAAAAGTTTGTCGCCAAAAGTTTGGGAAAGTGGCGGAAAGTGAGTGGAGGGCCTAGGGGAGTGAGAAAGAGGCTAGTTTTCAGGGTGAAGTTAGACAGAGGCCCCGAGGTCAAACAGCCAAAATAGCCAAACCTTTCCCATCAAACTTATTCAGGGATGGGCGTCTGGAAATATGTAAAGTGTAGGGAGGCAAAGTTGTTGTACCTTCCTGGAAAGTAAAATGTTCACACGGATGTGCGGCAGCTCCTGGATTTGAGGCAATTTCTAGTGTTTTTTCAAGAACTTTTCCTTCTTATCAAGTGTTTGCGTGTTGCTGATTAATTGAAGTAAATACGATGGTGGGGTATTCCTGAATTCAGAAATTTGACTTTTACATACATGAAGAAATACCTGATAGTTTATACTTAGACTTAATTTTATCTACAATGAAATGTGTTTGCACTCTTCGCAATCCTGTTATTGACTCAAAAGAAATTGAACAGTACGCCTTAACTTCACCACATGATGGCACCAAATGTCAAACTCTTACACAATATCGAAGAGTGGTAGCATGTGTGCACCGAGTTGCCTTTAAGTTATGAACGATTCTGCATCTGAAAAAGTATGATATCTGGGATATATACTTTACCCTCTCCTGCGTGAATAAATTGTCAGATTATGTTTTGGGGCCTAAACCCATGCGTCCTTGCTGTAGATCTATGCAAGGGTAAATGTCAGAGTTGTGTCTCGCATACTACAAGTGAATTAAAGTTAATTAGCATAGCCATGAATGTTGCTATATTCAGCACGTGCACACCTTGGTAAGGATGTGATTACAGAGCAAGTAATAATTGTTTTAAAGATAACACAGTATGGAGCTAGAGGAACGTAGCAGGCCAGGCAGCATCAGAGGAGCAGCAAAGTTGACGTTTCTAAAAAAGGGTCCCGACCCGAAACGTCAAATTTCCTGCTCCTCTGATGCTGCCTGGCGTACTGTGTTCCTCCAGCTCCACACTGCGTAATCTCTGACTCCAGCATCGGTAATTCTTACTATCTCTACTAATTGTTTTAAGCTTTTTATGTTAGCTTTCTTCATGGTTGTTTTGCCTTCCGCAATGCCCCTTTAGACGAGAATGAGCTAGCTTCCATTATGACTGCTCCCTTCCCTGTCAAAGGCATAAGCATTTAAAAAATTAGTCACCAATTCTGGTTTGATCTATTCCTCGAGGTCTCATAACATTAGTAACTGCCTCTGATTGTGTCACCCAGTCAAACATTTTAAAAATATTTTCAAACCATAAAACCAAAGTGTTCAAAGGAAATTTGTTTAATATTAAATACATTTTCTCTCATGTTTATAGTAGCATCCTGAAGGTTAATCTGTAGTTCTTGCAGAGTGCAGGAAAATTTTGAAATTGACAACCCAAGATATTGTAAAGAGGAGGAAATGATGCTTCAGTTGTCTAGAGCCACTGTCATATTTCACATTGAGTACCTCAGTCAATTTGGAAACTGCACCTGAGGAAAGATATATTGACAGGAGTGCAGCACAGATTCACCAGAATGATGCCTTGCCTTGATAGGTGCAATTATGATGACAGTTTGCATAAACCTCACTGGATTCAGTTGTCTTTACGAGGTCAAAAGGTGATCTAATGAGTTGTTCACAATGGTAATACCTCTCGATAGGATGGACACGGAGAAATTATTTACTCTAAGTGCTTGTGTGTGTGTGTGTGTGTTACAAATCACTCATTGACTCTGAGATGCTGTTGCACTATGCCCTTGTAGTTGCATGTTATAGTCCGGACCTGTGGATAGCAATGTTAGAGGCTCAAATTTTGTCTCCATCACATGCCTGACCAGGAATAATATAAGGTAGGGGGATCCAAAGCAAAGGAAAATAATGTTAAAATTAGAACTAAGCCATTCAGGAGTGAAGTTAGGAAGCAAACTTTCACACAAAGGATAATGGAAACCCAGAACATTTTTGCACAAAAGACTGAATGCTGGAATAGAGCCAATTAAAATATTCAAGACTGAGATTGACAATTACTGTTAGGTATCAAGAGATGTGGATTAAAGACAGGTAATTGGAGATGAGGTACAGATCAGCCTTGTCGCAACCATGGCACAGAAGGCTCGAGGGATGGAATAACTGATGCTTATTCCTGTGTAATTAGGGGAAGACATGCCCTCTTTACTCCACTCCAGTAATTTATGCTTGACCTTCAATGAAAGATTTGCAGGATCAGCTGGTTGACATCTTTTTCAATCCCTTTGGAAAAACTCATGTTTGCTACTTGGTACGTTACTGGCGCATCTGAGGCTGTGGACCCAATCTCTGGGTATTGTGGTGCAAATTAACATCCCACAGCTTTGTTCATAGCTGCTGTGTAAATGTAAACATGGCCCATTTGTCAAACATGCCTTTAGTCAGCAGATTCCAGCTCCAACGCATTTAGATATAGGTTGGATTAGATCTAAACTACATAACACCAGTTAAGACATACATTTCTCAAAGGAAACTAAAGACAATACAATTGACCAATGAAGTATTAAAAATATTATATGATTACTTGCTCTAGAATTTTCATGCGGGGAACATATATTATTATGTTCTGCTAATTTATTTGTATAGATATTTTGCAGATTGGTAAAAGTAACCTGTATTTTCTGTTATTGCATTATCAGATGCAGATTAAGCCTTTGATCGGAAGGTTTAATGTTTGCAAAATGCTTGAATTTTCTTACTTTTTTCTTTGACCTAAAACCACAGTAACAGAGAAAAATAGAGCAGGTCTGGTTGGGATGGACGAGTTGGACCAAAAGTTCTGTTTCCATGCTGTATAACTTTATGACTCTGTTCGGCCCTTTAAATCCTGCTGTTCCATTTGTTATGATCACCCAACTCAGTAACCTATTCTTGCTTTGCTCACATATCTTTTGATCCCTTTAGCCCCAAGTGCTATATTCCTACTCCTTGTTTTTGCCTTGACTGCTTTCTATGGAAGCGAATTCCACTGCTTCACCACTCTGGGTGAACAAATTTCTCCTCATCCCAGTCCTAAATAGTTTACCTTGTATCCTTAAACTGTGAGCTCTACTAATGAACTACTCCACCATTGGGAACATCCTTCCTTTATCTACACTGTCTAGTCCTGTTAAAATTTTATAGGGTTCTATGAGATTCCCCCTTATTCTTCTGAACTACACTAATTATAATCCTAACCAATTCAACCTGTCCTCATCCTTCAGTCCCACCATCCTAGGAATCAGTTTGGTGAACCTTTACTGCACTCCCTCTATAGCAAGAACATCCTTTCTCACATAAGGAGACCAGAATTACACGCAATATTCCAGGCATTGTCTCATCAAGATGCTGCATAATTGCAGCGAGACATCCCTGCTCCTGTACTCGAATTCCCTCACTATGAATGCCAACAAGTATTTACCTCTTTACCACCTGCTGAAACTGCATGCTTATTTTGAGTGACCCCCAGATCTTCTTGCATATTCCTGTCTCTCAATTTATAGTTATTCAGATAATCATCTGCTTTCCAGTTTTTGCTACTCAAGTGGATAACCTCACATTTATCCACATTATACTGCATTTGACATGCATTTGTCCACTCTGTAATCTTGTCCAAATTACACTTGAGCATCTCTCCATCCACCTTACAGCTCACCCTCCCACCCAGTTTTGTGTCATCTGCAAATTTGGAGATATTACATTTAGTTCCCTCATCTAAACTGTTGACATATATTGTAAATACCTGAGGTCTTAGTATTGATCCCAGTGGTACCACGCTAGTTACTACTTGCTATTTGGAAAAAGACCCATTTATTCCTACTTTTTTGTTTTCTGTCTGCCAACCAGTTTTCTGTCCATCTCATTACATTACCCTCAACCCCATGTGCTTTAATTTTACACTCTAATCTATGTCAAAAGACTTCTGAAATTCATCAACTTTACTGGTTATGACCTCGAAGATTTCCACTCAATTTGTCAATGATGATTTCCCTTTCTTATATCCATACTATGTCTCCTACCACTGTTTTCCTAGTACACTCCTTACATCTTCATTCTTTGCTGTCTTCTTACCTCTTGGGCAAAGGGTACAGTGATTATTGATAGGTAAAAGTAACACATGTATTGTGTCATGTAAGATGTGTGAGTCATACATTCATTTTTGTATCAGTTTTGGATTTTTGAATCTTTATGTGTGAATGCATTTAATAATGAACTTGTATTTCTGAAGCCTTAGTGATTTCTTTTAAAACACGGTATTAGAGAGAGACTTAATGGAGCATAAGGGGGATTTGTTTACATTGAGAAAGTGTATGAGTGAACAAAATAGTGTAACAGGTTTTCAGTCGAAGATTCTGGAAGTTTTGGGAGGCTTAAGGAAAGCACCCATAGCATGGAAAGAAAGCCTTTAGTTTCAGCTTGGGGCAGTTTTGTAGAATATGAGATAACAAGGTGTAGAGCTGGATGAACACAGCAGGCCAAGCAGCATCAGAGGAGCAGGAAGGCTGACGTTTTGGGCCTAGACCCTTCTTCAGTTTTGTAGAAGTTTTGTTTGAAGCTGAATGTGTAAAACAGAAGCTCCTGAGAAAGAAAGGTAGTAAAGAAAGAGGTTACCTCTGTGTAATGAGTTTATGTTAAATGTTCCAGGCCTGAAAAGACTCTGAAGGGGCAACCTCTAGCTGAGAAAATCTGAGATCAGTTGTATGAAGCTCCTGGAAGGGGCTATCAGATTCTCAAGATACAGAATTGTAACTTTCTTTAAATTAAACTCAATGGTAGTGAAAGAGAAGGAAAATCTCTCTGATAAGAATACTGTGAAGGAGAATGTGGGGACTGATGGGATTATATTTTACTGTCTATTTCAAAAGCTTTAAATTTGT